ATTATTTTTTGTTTACTCCTGTGAACAATATTTAGTGAGCATGATGGTGATGTGTCTTTTCGTGGAAGCACTATTCCAAAACGTATATGCTGTTTTGAATAAAAGTGTAAAGACTTTGCTTTTGAAGACAACCTTTGTGTTGCTAATAATTTAGGATAATATTTGGTGATTGTTTTCATTGCTATGGGTACATCTACAGTTTAATGTAGTTTGACAGCATTTTACTGCTGTGGTTCAATGTTCTGGAAACATTGAGTTGTAGTTTTTAAGGTATTTAGCTTTCTCTGCCTTACCAAACATCATTGAGCCATGGCAGCTATTTATTTATTTATTTATTTATTTATTTATTTATTTATTTATTTATTTATTGTATCAGGAGCAAACTAAGGATACAGTTGTAATCTATATAAATAAAAATGTAATGTTCGATTGTGGGATTAACAAAACTCAAAAACCACTGGACGAATTGACACCAAATTTGAACACAAGACACCTAACAACCCAATGTATATCCTTCACTCAAAAAAATTGATTTTGTCATTTGGGAGTTATAGTTGCTGGGATTTATAGTTCACCTACAATCAAACAGCATTCTGAACTCCACCAATGATGGAATTGAACCAAACTAGGCACACAGGACTCCCATGACCGACAGAAAACACTATAATAGTTTGGTGGGCATTGACCTTGAGTTTGGAAGTTGTAGTTCACCTACATCCAGAGAGCACTGTGGACTCAAACAAGGATGGATCTGGACCAAACTTGGCATGAATACTCCATATGCCCAAATGTGAACTCAGATGGAGTTTGGGTGAAATCGACCCTGACATTTGGGAGTTGTAGTTACTGGGATTTATAGTTCACCTACAATCAAAGAGCATTCTGAACCCCACCAATGACAGAATAGGGGCAAACTTCCCACACAGAACCCCCATACTTAAGGCCATCCAGTCCAACCCCCTTCACCAGGACAAGAAAACATAACCAAAGCCTCCTGACAAAGAGCCATCAAGCCATAGATATAGATAGATTGATATGATTCACGCACACGGAGATATAGCATCATAGATTTGAAAGGGACCCCTAAAGAAGGACAATTATATGTTGCAGAGTAGGCAAACCAAACAATGTCCACATCAATATTGACAAAGAAACAGCAAGATGTGCTGTTTACCCACAAGCATAAAGAAATTGCATATATTAGAAACTCAACACTTTCTCATTACTTTATTTTCCAGATCACCAAATTGGGCCACAGCAATGCATGGCAGGGCACGGCTAGTGTATTTTAAAAAACACAAAGTTAAAAACTTGGCATTATACTAAATGTCCTTTGACCAATAGCTGGCCACTTGGAATGCCTCTGGTGTTGCTATAAGAAGATCCTCCATTGTGCATGTGGCAGGGCTCAGGCTGCATTGTAGTAGGTGGCCTGTGGTTTGCTCTTTTCCACCCTCGCATGTCGCGGGTGTAGAAGGAGTGTGAAATGAACATGCAAAATACATCAATGTGGTGACAAGACAACAAATATCCTCTTAAAATGATCATGAGGAGCAATGAAAAGGACAGAGAAAGGAGGAAGGGGCTGAAACTCCCCCCCCCCCCAAGACTTTTCAGGTCATTGTCTCCTGATCTGGCATGAGATCTCAACAAGGCCCTGAAATTAGCATCATTGTGAAAAGGTTCTTCACAGGTAACTCRTCCTGAATCATTGCTCCCTCTTTAAGCTAGTTCTTGTCAGCCACAAAGGACAATTGTTTCCACAACTGGCAGAAGTTTCTATCTGCTTTCTTCTGCTTTCCTTTATCATCAAGACGTTTTCCACTGTGAATTAGCAAGAAGTTTTCAGCCAAGCACAAGTTGTTCTGACAGTACTGGTTTTTTTGTGTCTGTCGAAAGCTTCCATTACATTTTCAAATGGTTTAGCAGCCAATGCACCAAGTTTCTGATGACCATAGAATCATAAAATCATAAGAGTTGGAAGAGACCTCATGGGCCATCCAGTCCAACCCCTTGCCAAGAAGCAGGAAAATTGTATTCAAAGCATCCCCGACAGATGGCCATCCAGCCTCTGTTTAAAAGCCTCCAAACAAGGAGGCTCCACCACAGTGCGGGGCAAAGAGTTCCACTGCTGAACAGCTCTCACAGTCAGAAAGTTCTTCCTCATGTTCAGATGGAATCTCCTTTCCTGTAGTTTGAAGCCATTGTTCTGCATCCTAGTCTCCAGAGTAGCAGAAAACAAGCTTGCTCCCTCCCCCCTATGACTTCCCTTCACATATTTCTACATGGCCATCATCATGTCTCCTCTCAGCCTTCTCTTCTTTAGGCTAAACATGCCCAGCTCTTTAAACTGCTCCTCATAAGGCTTGTTCTCCAGACCCTTGGTCATTTTAGTCGCCCTCCTCTGGACACATTCCAGCTTGTCAATATCTCTCTTCAATTGTGGTGCCCAGAATTGGACACAATATTCCAGGTGTGTTCTGACCAAGGCAGAATAGAGGGGTAGCATTACTTCCCTGGATCTAGACACTAGACTCCTATTGATGCAGGCCAAAATCCCACTGGCTTTTTTTACTGCCACATCACATTGTTGGCTCATGTTTAACTTGTTGTCCACGAGGACCCCAAGATCTTTCTCACACATACTGCTCTCGAACCACGTGTCCCCCATTCTGTATCTCTGCACTTCATTTTTTCTGCCTAAGTGGAGTATCTTGCATTTGTCACTTTACGCTCAACTTCTCCTCCAAACGCCACATAGTCGTACTACTTACAGAGCACACCTTGTAGATGAAATGAGTAGGCTAGCCAGGGAAATCTGTTGAACCATTTAGGCTGAAATCTGATATGCCTCTTCTTCTCCGCAGGAAATACATATCCTGGCCACAGAGTCTGTGGATTTTGCACTGATTGAGCTTTCACTTCTTCATCAGAAACAGCCTTGTTCTTATAAAGTCCAATGACATGGCTTCTTCTCTTTGCTCCTGTTTCACTGCTTCTTTGGCAGGGCTTGCCCCGTCGCACAGTGGTTCTCAACCTGAGGGTCCCCAGGTGTTTTGACCTACAACTCCCAGAGATCCCAGCCAGTTTACCAGCTGTTGGAAACTAGGCAAGTGGGGTTTATATATCTATGGAATAATGTCCAGGGAGGGAGAAAGAACTCTTGTCTGCTTGAGGCAGGTGTGAATGTTTCAACTGGCCACTTTGATTAGCATTGAATCATTTGTTGGGAGGTGTTACCTGGCCCTGATTTTTTCCTGTCTGGAATATATCGTGGAATAATGTCCAGGGTGGGAGAAAAAACTCTTGTGTGCTTGAGGCAAGTGTGAATGTTTCAACTGGCCACCTTGATTAGCATTGAATGGCCTTGCAGCTTCAAGGTCTTGCTACTTACTGCATGGGGGAATCCTTTGTTGGGAGGTGTAAGCTGTCTCTGATTGTTTCCTGTCTGGAAGATATGTGTGGAATAATGTCCAGGGTGGGACAAAGAACTCTATTTCGTTTGAGGCAGATGTGAATGGTTCAAATGGTCACCTTGATTAGTATTGAATAGCTTGCAGCTTAAAGATTTGGCTGCTTACTGCCCAGGGAATCCTTTGTTAGGAGGTGTTAGCTGGCCTTGATTGTTTCCTGTCTGGAATATATCTGTGGAATTATGTCCAGGGTGGGAGAAAGACCTCTTGCCTGTTTGAGGCAAGTGTGAATGTTTCAAACGGCCATCTTGATTAGCACTGAATGGCCTTGTTTTAACTATGGTTTTGTACATTATGTGTATTTGTGCAGGCATCGAATTGTGCCTTTTTGTAAGCCGCCCTGAGTCCCCCCCTCGGGGGTTGAGAAGGGCGGGGTAAAAGTACCCGAAATAAATAAATAAATAAAACAAGGTCTTGCTGCTTACTGCCTGGAGGATCCTTTGTTGGGAGGCATTAGATGGCCCTGGTTGTTTCCTGTCTGGAATATATCTGTGGAATAATGTCCAGGGTGGGAGAAAGAACTCTTGTCTGCTTGAGGCAGGTGGGAATGTTTCAAATGGCCGGCTTGATTAGCATTGAATGGCCTTGCAGCTTCAAGGTTTGGCTGCTTTCTGCCTGGGGATCCTTTGTTGGGAGGTGTTAGCTGGCCCTGACTGTTTTCTGTCTGGGATATATTTGTGGAATAATGTCTAGGGTGGGAGAAAGAACTCTTGTCTGTTTGAGGGAGGTGTGAAGGTTGCAATGGCCTTGCTGCTTCAATGCTAGGCTGGTTGCTGCCTGTGGGGACATCCTTTTCGGGGGTGGCTTGACCCCCTAAACGGGCTTGGATGGATGAGAATGGATGGCAGCAAGCCAGGAGGGAGGGGAGGGGTGGGCGTGGTGGCCCGCCACGCAAAGGCTGGCTCGGCCTGTGGTTTGTCCTGCCAGGAACCAATCCCGGCCCGATTCTTTGCAAGGGCTTTGGGGGCGCGCCCCACCTCCCTTTCCATTGTCCACGCGCCTTCCCTCCCTCCTTGCCACGAGCCTCCTCCTCCTCCCTCCTCCCAGGGGGAGAACAGCAGGGCCCTATCTCCCTCATCACCATCATCAACGGGGGGGGGGGGTCACTCCGTTAGCTCAAGAGGCGGGACGAGAGACCCTCAATCTCTGCACAGGCAAGCTATTGGGGGACGCCTCCGCCTCCCGCCTGTCACTCATCGCCGGGGTCGCCACGGGATTGCACGCCGCTTGGTCCCGCCCCCCGTTTCTCGGCTGGGCAGAGCGCGTCGGCCCCGCCCCCTGTCTCTGCTGTCCCTCCAGCCCCGCTCCGGGATTGGGCCTCCCGGGTGTCACTTAGGAGCGAGTTGTGAGGGATTCTTCTCGCCGAGGAGCGATTGACTGGGACGTTTTCCCTCCGCGCTGAGGGGATGATGCTCTGAGGGAGGGAAGGAGGAGAAGGGACGGCGGCGGCGGGCCCTCGTCCTTAGGCGCCGCATCCGCGACTGGGTGGGAGGGTGGGAGGGAGGGAGGGAGGGTCGGGGACGAAGAGGCTCCTCCGCCGTGCTGCTGCTCCTGCTGCTGCTCCGCTTTCCCCGCTTCGCCATGGCCACCACCGGCTCCACGCTGCTGCAGCCCCTCAGCAGCGCCGTCCTGCTGCCCATAGACCAGGTGAGAGGCAGAGCCAGGCCTGAAGGAAGGAAAGAGGGAGGGAGGGAGGGAGGGAGGGAGGAAGGGAGGATGGGGAGGGCTGCAGAGACAGGCAGGCTGAAGGAAGGATGCCATTCCCTCCGCACCCCATCCCCCTCTTCCCTTTCTCCCCTCAGCACTTCCCCAACAGCCCCACCTTCACGCAACAGAGAGTCACCCACATTATTACTATTATTGTTATTATTATTATTATTATTATTATTATTATTATTATTATTATTGTGTGTGGGGCTCTTTTGAAACATTTCTTTGCAGAGATGCTGCCTGGGATGGCCTAGAAATCCGTGCACAAGGCTCCCTTTTTTGCAATCAAGAGATAAAAGCGGGATATAAATAATAATAATTAATAATAATAATAATAATATCTTGGATGGAAGGAATAATTAATAATAATATCAGTGTTGGCAAAAGATAAATATATTTGGATGGAAGATATAATAATAGTTTCAGTGAGGGCAAAAGAGAAATATATTTGAATGGAAGAAATAACATAATAATATCAGTGTTAGCAAAAGGCAAATATATTTGGATGGAAGATATAATAATAATAATAATAATAATAATAATAATAGTTTCAGTGAGGGCAAAAGAGAAATATATTTGGATGGAAGGAATAACTAATAATAATATCAGTGTTAGCAAAAGGCAAATATATTTGGATGGAAGATATAATAATAATAATAATAATAATAATAATAATAGTTTCAGTGAGGGCAAAAGAGAAATATATTTGGATGGAAGGAATAACTAATAATATCAGTGGGGGCAAAAGAGAAATATATTTGGATGGAAGATATAATAATAATAATAATAATAGTTTCAGTGGAGGCAAAAGAAGTATATTTGGATGGAAGGAAGATATAGTAATAATAGTTTCAAGTGAGGGCAAAAGAAAAGTATATTTGGATGGAATAAATAATAATAATAATAATAATAATAATTTCTTTGGAGGCAAAAGAGAAATGTATTTGGATGGAAGGAATAACTAATAATATAAATGGGGCAAAAGGGAAATATATTTGGATGTAAGATATAATAATAATAATAGTTTCAGTGAGGGCAAAAGAGAAATATATTTGGATGGAAGGAAGATCTAATTGTCATCTATTTGGATGAAAGGAATAACTAATAAGAAGAATGAAGAGAAGTATATTTGGATGAAAGGAATAACTAATAATAGTTTTTTGTGTGAAAATAAATATATTTGGATGGAAGGAAGATCTAACCATCATCTTGCTTTGCAAGAATGAAGAGAAGGATATTTGAATGGAAGGAAGATATAGTAATAATAATAATAATAATAATAATAATAATAATAATAGTTTCAGTGGGCAAAAGAGTAGCTTGGAAGGGTGTGTGTGGAAGGAAGAAAGATAAAAGCAGGATATAAATAAATGTCATCTCACCATCTTTATCTTTCTGGGCAAAAGAGAAGAGATGGAAGATCTAATAATAATAACAATAACAATAACACAGACCTAGACACCTGGGAAGTGTTCGACTTGTGATTTTGTGATACAAAATCCAGCATATATATCTCGTTTGCTGTGACATACTGTTTTTTTGTGTTAGTAAAATAATAACAACAACAACAACAATAATATCATCAGTAGGTAAAAGTGAAGCCTTGAAGGGTGTGTGTGGATGGAAGGAAGATAAAAGCGGGATATAAATAAATACCTTATCGTAATCATCTTTCTGGGCAAAAGAGATGGATATTTGAATGGAAGGAAGATATAATAATAATAATAATAATAATAATAATAATAATAATAATAATAATAATGGTAGTTTCAGTGGGGAAAAGAGAATCCTGGAAGGGTGTGTGTGTGGATGGAAGGAAAGATAAAAGTGGGATATAAATAAATATAATCTCCCCGTCGTCGTCTTTCTGGGCAAAAGAGAAGGATATTTGGATGGAAGGAAGATATAATAATAGTAATAGTATTAATAATAGTAATAATAGTTTAAGTGGGCAAAAGAGAAACCTGGAAGGGTGCGTGTTAATGGAAGGAAGATAAAAGCGGGATATAAATAAATATCATCACCTCATCATCCTGGGCAAAAGAGAAGGATATTTGGATGGAAGGAAGATCTAATAATAATAATAATAATAATAATAATAATAATAATAGTTTAAGTGGACAAAAGAGAAGCCTGGAAGGGTTTGTGTGGATGGAAGGAAGATAAAATCAGGATATAAGTAAATATCATTATCTTTCTGGGCAAAAGAGAAGGATATTTGGATGGAAGGAAGATATAATAATAATACTAATAATTATAGTAATAATAATAATAATTTAAGTGGGAGAAGAGAAGCCTTGGAAGGGTGTGTGTGGATGAAAGCAAGATAAAAGTAGGATATAAATAAATATATGTGGGCTGCGTGGGGCAAAATAGAAGGATCTTTGGATGGATGGAAGGAAGGGAAGCTACAATAATAATAGGCTGCACTGGGGGCAAAAGAAAAAGAGGTTGGCCGGAAGGAAGGGGAGATGTAATAACAATAATAGTCTGTAGGCTGTCCTGGGGAAAAATGAGAAGACTATATGAATGAAAGGAAGGGAAAATCTAGTACAATAATTGTTTCAGTGGGCTGTGTTGTGCCAAAAGAAAAGGATGGGTGGATGAAATGTAAGAAAATAATAATAATAATAGTTTTGGGTTGAGCTAAGGCAAAAGAGAAGGATGTGTGGCTGGAAGGAAGGGGAGATATAATAGTAATAGTTTCAGTGGCATGTGCTGAGGGCAGGATGTGTGGATGGAAGGAGAGATAATGTCACAATAACAATAGTAGCAATAATGGTTTCACTGAGTTGTGCTGGAGGCAAAGGAGAAGGATGTGTGAATGAAAGGAAGAGGTGGCTTAATAATACTAATAATAATAGTGTCTGTGGGCTATGGTGGAGGCAAAAAAGACACTTGGAAGGAAGGGGAGATTTCTGGTTTTGCACATCCATCCTATTGTATATTTACTATTGGTATGTATTGTGTGGTTATATTCCACATGTACACATCCTAAAGGATGGGCCATTCACCCTCCGTCTTTAAAACAAAAACCATTGGATAAGCAGATTCCCCTTACCTAAGGCAGTGCAATAAGAATAAATATTCCAGAGTGCCTCTCCTTACTATAATGGTTTTTTGCTTTTTGACCGTTTTTGGCTACAGGTGATGGAGGGAGAAAGGGTAAACAATTAAGTTGTATAACCTGCTCTTTTAAAACCATGACTGATGTGTCATTGAGAAAGATTATTTTCTGAAAGCAACACAGAGAAATGTATAATTTGTGTACACAGCCTTAAATGAGAGACTTTAGAATAATATACCTGGGAATCAGAAGTCCCCCTGAATAGTTTTATAGACGGAAAGGAACCTGTGGTGAAATTTCCTTTGACCTCCATGAGATCAGTGTGCTTGTTTGTTTATAATATCTTAGAATTTCATCTGTTCCAGCATGACCTTGATAGGGATATAACAATACTTCCTTTCTCTAGCTTGCCTTGAGGTAGGGATGGGGCTTGAACCATTTGTAATTCATGAGTGGGGTGTGTTGTACAAGTAGCAAGGATTTATTCTGCACCTCTAAGTAAATACATTATGCCCCCCATAACCATGTAATCAACATATGTGTGTTCATTTATCCACTGTTTACTTATGCACTTAGTGCCTCCTATGCAAGCTTCATCCTCTTCTTGATACCCCATAGCTCACCCCATTGAAAATAATAGGGTTTGCGATTATATGTACTTTCACATATCTACACAAAGTCTCTGAAGTTATCTCCTGAGGATATACTGTAAAACATATTATGGTATTTACACAGTTGTCTCTTGTTGTGTCTTGCTAGAAAATACTACACGATTGTAAAGTTCATAGATGTTGCAAGCTACCTGTAGAGCAGAAAAGTGTTTGTTTCCAGTGGGGGAACTGAGGTATGCTCGGTACATCAATTTAAAGAGCTTAAAAGCAGAGCTTTGGTTTTTAATTTCAGTTTGTGGGCTACTAAGAATGCCTTCAATTATATTTATTGATTTTAAGGATTTTTTCAGGGTTATATATTTTGTCACACTGACAAGATGATGGATCTGCAAATAGTCCTTTAAAATCCTTTATGCACGCTGCAGATTTGAAAATATTGTTTGAAAATATTATTTCAGACAGGCTGGATGGACCTACTGTTGCTCAGGAGAACAAACTGGAAACTTAGCTCCATGCTGTGACTAAGCTAATAACAAGCTGCACCAGTATAAACAAAAGATCTCACTGTACACAAACCATCAGTAGTTCTTAGTGTAAAACAGTGTAACAGGTAATAGCTTAGGGATGCCAGACAGCTCTGTGTAACATCTTTAAAGCAAAGTTGAATAATTTCTGAATTCAGTGTCAAGGTATAGTCAGTGGGTCTGCAGGAAAAATGGACAAAAAGGGACATAATTGAAGTTGTCTGTATTCGTTTACATAGATACACATACAGCACTTCATTGTGTGATATTTACCAGGCATGGGTTTGGTGTATTCGAATATAGTACAATTTTGTTCTGTATGTAAAGCTGACTAAAGACATTCTGTTTCAGAGGAAAATAAAAAATGGATTCTTTTGTATGTACAAAAGTCTGTTGGAATGGCAGAATCTCTCTTGAAAACTGACAATAGAACAGTGACAATATACAAGCCAGCAGATTAGCTTCAGAACAAAGCTCAAACTGTGTGGCTCATAACAGTTTCCTCCAATAGCTTCCTTGGCATTTCCAGCATTGACTGACTGGGGTGATAGCCTCGTTCTGCCTAGTCTGTGCATAACTGGAATTTTGCTGCCCAGAGGGATAAACCAGTCAAAGTTATAGACTTCTAAATTCTATTAATTTCAGTGGAAAATGATCTTTTGAGGAAAATAACTTTTTTATTTTATTTTTTCCTGATATACTGTTCTGCTTAAATCAGTGGGAACAATGCCCTTA